GGTAAGGTCCTACGGAGTGTGAGTCATTTTCCTCGCCTTTTTTGGTGAAGCGCTCCCGCCCACCCTCGATCTTCCCACGGTGTGCGGGCCTGCGGCCCGCCTTTCTGACTCACTCCTATGAGATCTGGCATCATCTTTTTATTTATTTTTTTATTATTTCTGACTCACTCCTATGAGATCTGGCACATTTTTTTAGTGGTGTTGATAAGAGCAGACACCACTAGCACCTGGGGAGAGGCTCCATCTATTGGTGGGGAGCATCACCTGCTGAAAAACGGGTCCAGCGTCCCATATACAAACTGAATTTGGAGTATGTCAAACAAGATTGTGGGAGGTTCCTGCCAGCATTGATTACGCTGGGATCCAGAGGATTGACTGAGCAGGCTATTGGAGAGAGGGGGGAACCTCGTCGCCCTGAAAGAGGCGCCAGATCCCTGCTGCTACACACTAGTTCCTTCCTCCCCCTACCGGTGAATACTTAGACCCGCGTCCCTTACCAGGACAAAGGATTGAGAAAGGTTGAGAAAAAACCTAGCAGCATTGATTACTCCGGTGACCAAACGATTGGCTGTGCAAGTTGCTGAGAGATGGGCACCTTTTTTGGTTTTATCAAGACAGGATTGTGTGACACTCTTGTCAGCATTGATTACCCAGGGGATTGACTGAGCAGGCTATTGAAGAGACAGGGGAACCTCTTCACCCTGAATCCCACCCCAACTCCCTGCTGCTATACTTTGGTTCCTCTCCCCTTCTTTTTTTAAACTGAGAATATCTATGGGAATTTAGAAAACCGTGAGCCACCCCTACCCCCCTTTGTTCTTAAAAGACCGGGCTGCTAGCATTGACTGCCCCAGTGGCTGGGGGGTTAAATGTGCCACCAATCTTCCTAATAGACCGTCCTATACTTCCAACGTTGTAGGCAACATTGGCTGCAAGAGTGGTATTCAATCTCCAGAGGGGCACCAAAGACTGGAATACTCTGTCTCAGGGGTGTATGAGTGTTGTGGGGAGGGGATAGGCGGGTACCTGGAGAACCAGGGAAGAGGAGGGAAAGAGAAGAGAAGAAAAACAGTAAAAAAGAAGAAAGGAGAGAAAGGACATCTTCGGCCTCATTTTTTCCTATTTTATTCGGAACAGTCCTAGGGATTGGTATACTTCTGCATGGGTAGGAACATGATTGAGTAACAGATCATGATTGCATGAGGGACCGCGAGTATCTGGAATATCGGGGAAGCAAATATTTTCTCTCATCAATTGCGATCGGGGCTCCCCTATCACCATTTAACCACATACGGACCCACCTTAAACACCAACCCGGCAATCCTGAGTACCCGGCCATGGAAGCCGCGAGCTGAGAAAGTCTCCTTTCCGTCCGAACCTCTTTGCATTTTGGTCCTTGGAACCTTGACACAAGAGATCCCAGTTCCGACCTGGACTCCACCCCACTTTCCTAAAATCCTTGGCACACCCCCTTTTTCGAACTTCCCGATCTACTTCCAATCCGATCAAGAAGTCGCGTTGGGCCTGAGGTTGGGCATCACGCACTCACCAGCTGGTTGTGACGCCTAACCTCACGCCCAGCGCGACTTCCTGATCGGAGTGAGAGGGGGCCCGGAAGTGCGAAAAAGGGGGTGTGCCAAGGATTTTAGGAAAGTGGGGGTGGAGTCTCAGGTCGAAACTAAGATCTCCGGTGGCAAGTTTAGGGACAACGGTGCAAGATGGTATGCGAAGATCGTGTCTAGGATTACCGCCTTTGCCAGTTGCGTCGCTGTGGTCGATTCCTCATTTGGTGAACCAGTGGGTCGTGGTGGCTGACGCGTGGTTCGAACAGTTGTCGGCGCCGCTCGACTTCGGTTCGGGTTCGCCGGGTAATTTCCGAGGCTCGATACGCCTGGTGCCGCTGACACTTTTCGCACGATGTGCGGGGCCAATAACGAGCTATGGAATTCCATAGTACCACTGTGAGCTGGTGATATGGAAGGAGGAGATGGAAGAGAGGGAATTTGGTACTAATAACGACGAAGCCCGGAGATATGTAATATTGAGTGTTGTTAGTCTTCGGATAGTCTGGTCCCCTAGGATTGTTAGTTATGGCCCAGTGAACGTCTCTCGCGCACAGTCGATCATTCTCCTCAGACAGGGGAATTCCGGGTTTCTCAAGTTTCCCCGCCGTCTGAGATGTTCACCCTTCCAGTATTCGCGATGCTCCGGGTCCCTCAGGCTCTCACGACCGGTGATCCAAGAGGGGGGTTTTACAGCCATATCCGATTAGTGAACTCGGTCTCCCGCATCCTCATGATGAGTTCGAGGTCGACTCATGCAGACGAGCGCGTATGCTGCGACTCGGTTTTCTCAAGATCGTGGTCGTACGCGAGCGTGCACATGAGCGAAAGCGGATCAGACTCGGGTTTCTCGTGCCGAAATATCGGTTGTGTCCTACCTGCACGCAACTATCCTATCCATACAATTTCGGGTGGGATCAATCATTACATTCACACCCATGCCATTCATGTGACGAAGGGGGGGGG